AACAGGTTTACCTTTTAGGTGACATGAATGAGTTGAAGGGAAGTTATGACCTGTTTCTGAGAAATAACACCAGGATCCTTTTTTACGTAGCTGGCGGCTGATAACTGTGCAGGGGCGAGTCTAGCAAAGTTTTGCCAGGGGGCCAGGTAGGGCATTAACAGGGAAAGGGGGGCACAAAGAAATACTTTTCTTTCTTATTTTCATTTTAAATGTCTAGCTTTTAATAAACAATTATCTGAATCTTACAACCAAAGTGGTCATCTGATGTAAAATGTATAGAAATTCATTATTGCATATAGTAAATATCCATCCATCCATCCATCCATCCATTTTCTTCCGCTTATCCGGGGCCGGGTCGTGGGGGCAGCAGCCCAAGCAGAGAGGCCCAGACCTCCCCTCTCCCCAGCCACCTCCTCCAGCTTATCCGGGGGAACACCAAGGCTTTCCCAGGCCAGCCGAGAGATATAATCTCTCCAACAAAAAACAGTCCAACAGAGGACAAGAAAGAGTGTACACAGCTCAAGTTACCATTTGTCTTTGATTTATTTGGACAGTAATTACAGGATATACATAGTGTTTCATTGAAACAACAGTGTAACACTGATGGGCAAAGCCCTCTTTGCTCCTGAGGTCAAGAGTTGGTTGACGTACTCTCAAGCGGAGATGTGCAGAAACAACATTTTGCTGTGTTTGTGTTCAGGGGCCAAAAAGGAAAAGAAGACTGATACCGCTCAACAACGGGGCTTTCACACAGTTCCTAAACGAGAATTTCAGTCAGTCTTAACGGAGAAGAACCGCTGAAGCTCCGATGCACTGAAACAAATTTGGTATTAACCACCTTGGGATTTGTTTTGTTTTACAGCTCCAATACAACATTGTACAAAAAAAAAAAGCATATTTACAGGTGAACTCAATAGATATATATATATATATATACACACATATACATGTACACGTACAATATTATATAAATATAGTAAAATATTTTAAATTACATTGATTTCACGGTCTTCCATAAATAGATGACAACATTTCGGTGACGTGTGAATGTTGGAAGCACAGTGTGCCATCTACGACAGGCTCTCCACTCGGTGGGAAGGAATCCGCGTCGAGCTCTCTTGTTCGTTATTGTTTGGTTGAAGGTGTTCAAGAGTGCAACCTGTTTTTAGTTGTTTCTTAGGTTGTTGTTGTTGTTGTTGTTGTGTTTTGTTTTTTGTTTTTTTGCATGTTTAACAGGTATCACGGCATGTGGTCAAAATTCAAAGTATTCTCCCATAAAGAAAAAATTTCAAGTTTCCCACAACCCCTGAGTGGGGGAAGTGGAACCGGGAGGCTCGCAGGCCTTCTCAAAGCAGTAGTGTCGTCGCTGCGCAGACCTTCAGCAGGTTATAAAGACTAAATACAGTTTCAGGAGAGACCTCACGCAAGAACCTCTGCAGCGCCCAGTGCTGGGTTTGAAAGGGCAGGTTCTGTTGAGTGACGCACAGTTTTACAAGGAAAGCTGACACTGTTAACAAGGTTGCAGAGGCTTGGTACAAATACTGAAATAGGCTGTGTTAGGCCTTGCCTGTGAAAACTGACAAGTGTGCTGATTTTAAGTGCTTTTCACTATATAATTATGCTTTACAAACACAGTTTTGGCAAAGTTAAAAAAAAGAAAAACTGTTGTAAAGAACGTAACTAAGTCTGTTCCCACTTGTAAGGATTTGGAAAATTCACAAGGTTTTTCTTTTGTTTTGTCAGCAGGATCTATTGTTGCCGAGCTCAGAGGACAGTTGCAGCGTACCTGAGCATAAGCTCTATTTTGAACTCTATGACTATTTCTTCTGTGGCGTGAGGCACGTTAAAAGAATTTTGTTTTCAGCTGTACCTTTAGTAACTATTCAAAAATAAAAGCAAAACAAAGCCCCATACCTCAAACTATCAAAACACGAAGAATAAAAATGAGCAAAAATGACAATGAAAAAAGTTGGAATAAAAACAGAAACAAACAAAAAAGTAAAACGCTGACGTTGTGGTCTATCACAGCATACTGTACAAAGTTCAGATACATTCTCTTGGAATGGCATGGTCCGTCGCTCAGCGAGTCAATGCTGAACATGAAGTGAGTTCTTGTGTTTTTCTTTGTTTACAATAGGTTTGATGTTGGTTACAAGGATGTCGAAGAGCCAGCAGCAAACAGCAGGAGAGCTGGAGGTTTAGTGTCCGCTGTCGCTTGTGGCGTTCTTGATCCAGTCCAGGATGATGAGGGTCATGCTGCCAAGCATGACCACGATACCGAGAACGAGGAAGACTAATGCCTAGAGAGCAAAATAAGATCACAGTTAGCTAATGTGTTTATTCACACCAAGTTAAATGAAACCTTTCACAGTTCAACAAATGTGTAATTTGTTGTCTTCGGTTCAGTATAAAGCTAATTATCTTACTTTAGCTTAGCAATGCAGAAGATAAAGCCCATTTGTTGCACTATTTGTGTTATCCTTTAGTTAAAAATATGAGAATTAAAGAAAAAGAAAAAACAATCAAACATAAGAATTGTGGTTTTGAACAGAGTTAATTCAAGTGTTTGCTTAATATGAAGTTAAACTAAAGGGCTAATTACTGCAGCTACAACCATGTCGAATTCTTGGCAAGGAAACAAATAAGTGTAAAGTTCCAAAACTGTTCATTTCATCGAACTCCATCTTACCCCGATCTTTTGCCTAGACTTCATGGACTCTTTCTTGACCAGTCTGATGTAGAAAGCTGAAGGCAGGATGAAGATGAGCATGGCAGCAGCAGAAGCTCCTGACAGAGTAAAGACATTTGGCATTTTAGTCACAATCCTTTCTTTTACTGTTGCTAAGATGTTATTACAGTATCTTGTATGCAGACACATACCTATAAAGCCAAAGATGTCCCTGATGGTGGGAACGAAAATAACCAGGGCATTTGTGCCAGCCAGCAAGAACACAGTGATGGCAGTGTGGCGAACCCAGCTGAATTCCTTAGAAGGGCACAGGAGGTGGTTGACAGTGGTACGAATCTGCACAATGAGAAAGACACAGGGAGGTTATTCCACATGACCGATTATTTGTAGTAATTCATATTTTAGAATCTCTGTGACATTTTTTTTCAAACTTACAGGGAAGAGGACAACAGGGACAGTAAGGGTGACGGCGGTCAGCACGGCCAGACGGACAATCAACAGGAGCACATCAAACTTGTACACTTTGGTGTAGGTATGCAGCAGCTCATCTCCCACGTGCTCTATAGACAAAGACAACAGATGTCCTCCACTTAAGTCAGGGTTAAAGTCATCTATTCTAGAGGACTGTACATGGATAACTAATGGTTAGAACCTGATACCATTTTATAAATTAAATTTTAGAACAAATTTAAATTTGCATTGTTAGTCAAAGATTTTTTATTATGAAGTTCTATAAACGCAAAGTAAGTAAAACCTTATATATTATATCACCCATATTTATATGTGTATATGTGCCATTAGGATTAATAGCATAAAAATTAGCTTCATGACAAGCTAAATTTCTTTCATATCTTTGCAATCAGTGTAAAGGTGGGAGTAGCTGCTAATTAGCTTATCTTAGTATAGTAATTTGGCTACACGCTATTTATATTTTTAAGAATCTGTACTACATAAATAGTAAAATAATAATAAGAAAAATGCTAGCGCTTCAGAGACGTCTCTGGATTGAGCTAAGCTAACCAGCTAATAAAAAAAGCAAACATGTTTTGACTCCGTTTTTTGGGGTCTAGTTTTTACATTTTCCTTTGACTTAAGCTGTGTGCTTATTCAGATTTTTTAAATTTTCCCCATTTAAAATTTAGCTAAGCTAACTGAAACAATGGTTTGCTAAGCCTTGTGGTTTTACAAAGGTTTGCAGGTTGACATTAGCATGCACAGCAACAAAAAACATTTTGTTTCATTTTTAACACCCTGTTATGATATTTTAATGTAAAATAAGTGTTTTACTAGAACTAAAAAAAACATTTTTTTGTTAGATGTATATTTAAGCAAGAGTTTTACGGCCACAAACCACCTAAATTCTTTGGCGACTTCTATGTTGTTTGAGGAGTATTTAAGTAGGTAAAACAAATATAATTTCGCAATGTCGACTCATCCCGACTACAAACTGGTAGGGGGGGGGGGGGGGGCACGCCACACTGTCACAGTTTTCACTATCACTCTCTTGTATAACTGCTGGTAAGTTCCAGGAACATTTCTTGGTGGTCTATCAGTTGTTTTTGTCATGACGCGCGGGAACACAAACATGCTAGCACACTGCTCAGTGGCATCAGGTGGGTTTTTTCACAGTCTTGCATAACTACTGTTCCTGAAAGTTTCTCGCTTAACCTTAGATGACAGAGCCCATTTAACATTTTGTATAACTTCTTGTGAACTGGTATAGGTGTGTGTTGACATTAACTGCGTCAAGAAACTAAATTTAGTTACATTTTTTCCCCACGTAAAAAATTTGTGTACATATTTACATTTTTACTGTCTTGACTTACGGTTAAAAGTCAGGTATCCAAAAAGGGCAGCCAGCAGGTACATGATGAACATAGCCAGGAAAGAAACATTGGCGACATTCTGCATCTTCTTGCGGGAACGGCTATTCAGCAGAGAGTTGAAGACATGTTTTATTTAGACAGCAGACAAAAATGACTGTAAAAAAGTTGTAAATTGTGTTTTATATGTCAGGGAAATTTAAAAAGACGGCAGTGTATACTCACTCTTTGAGCTCGTCGTACATGGGCAGGATGGCGGGGTGGCACACAAAGGCGAAGGTAATAATAGGGACAGCATAAACAGTCTAGGGAGGTAAATAAAATTCATTAAACTAACGTCTAAAAAGTAGAAATGATTTCATTATGGTTTATTTCAATTCTACAGATGTTCTAAGTCTTTACCTGTGAGTTGACGATAAAGTATTTTGGCTTGCAGGTGTCCTCGTCAGAAGTATTGTCGCTGTGTGAGCTGTGTGAGATGTTCAACGAATGAGTCAAGTTGTCATCGTGAATATCAGGGAGAGGGCATGGGATCTGGAACTTTTTGATGATCACCTTGAAGGAGCAGAGAGCAAATTTCCCATTTTAGCTCCTTATTGTAAAGAAGCAAAGGTTCATTAAAACCACATTTACGGCATGATCAGAAACAAAGACTTGACTGTTCTTGTGCTGTCCTGTTCCACTATTAAATGAATTCATTTGACTACATTTTTTAAAAGAAAGGAATCCTGCTCTGTTGTGTAGGAGGAAGGGATTTCACTGGAAGACTGAAACTCAATTGGCAAAACAAGAACAGGCCAAAGGATGTGTGTAAAGGATATGCGGTGATACGCTAACATGAGGAATGAGGAGAGGTGTGTCATACTCACCACAATCAGAAAAAAGACCATGCACAGCAGTGACAGACCACTTGTGTAACCAAGGTAACCTGAAAGAGTGAAAAACACAATCATTAGCGATGCCCTCCTCTATCACGTCACGCTACGCTATTAAGATTTTAAAGCTTTTGAAATCTTGCACGTGTGCAAGTGCGTCACTGACTTTGAACCCAACCCTGTTCAGAAATGCATCTGACTCGCAGCACCCACCCACAAAACACACACACACACTTTCCTTACCTAAGTTCTTTAGCAGCGACAGGGGCAGGATAATGCCAACACTAACCAGCAACACCAGGTAGTCACCGTTGACGTACCATTGACTGAAATACAAGACAGAGCATGTCAGTGTTAGCTAATGGAGATCACCAATGAATAGGTAAAGATTTCTGTAGCTGTGTTAAAGGGGCAACACAGGTTGTTTTGCAGTGTTCTACTGTGAAATCTACTGTCAATGAGTTTGAATTGTTTGTTAGTTTTATCATCTTTCTTGTGTATATCTTGCATATTAAGAAGCTTTGATCTTATTACAAACTGATGAACCAGGACCACAAGTAATTTAATTAGCTACGTGATGCCGAAAGCAGCACGCTGAATCTACTTTCCTGTGAAATCCTCTGCAGCTTTTAGGGCTGATCAAACCTCTCAGCCTCTGCACACTAGCTGACAAGAACTGGCCTCCGCAAGCATGACTGCATAGCTTACAAAAATAGATGTAACAAAGCGGCACAGAGGAGAGCGAACTACATCAATTTTTTAAACTCGAAGCCGGGTGGCGGTGAGATCATCCCGCGCGCCATCTCTGTGCGGCACCAGCTGCATTTTCTAAAAGGGCTCTTTGAAAGAGCCGCTCAGAAAGACAGAACACTGTCCGTCCATTTAAAAACAGCCAGACAGTCCTCCTACACAGCTTGTGCTCCAAGCAGAGCGACAAAGCCGCTGCTTCACCTTCCCCGACACTCAGCACTTGAAAAACAACTGGCAGCCATTTTGCTTAACATGTCCACCTCGAGTGCTTCTTTCGGGCATTCCGGTTCTCTTTCATTCCTTCTAGGAATTTATTTTTTTTCACCAACACCTCCCTTTTGTAGTCCTAGTGCAACCAGCAAACATTCCTATTGGGGCGAGTAAACCATGCTGTATTGACATTTAGTCTACATCTTTGGCTGCACGACAAATGGTCTGGTGCTCTGACCTGAACCACTACCAAAATCGAATCAGATGTTCCTTGGACAGAGGCCAGCTTGACTGATTTATCCTTGGATTTCTTGGAAATAAGTCTACAACCTCCAGGTTCATTATTTGATTTGTTAAAAATATTCATATAAGTAATGCGCCAGTTTCAGCAGTGTTTCCTGTGTTAGGTGAAATAAAGCAGTGAAACATGAAAAAGAAAGAAATGGCTAGTATTACTATAAAGCTTGAAAATTCAAAGCCACCAAGCAGAGCGTTTAGCTGCTAGTGGAGCCATCCAGCAGTGTTTGTATGACTTTCCCCTCTTCATGTAAACACAGCTTATGTTTGTTTACAAGAAAACACCACACGGTGCATTTAAAGAGGTCATGTCGGCCAGTTTGAGGCGCTGTGTCTGTTGGAGCGGTGCGCACAGACATGCAGTCATTTCTAACTTTTCCAGACCTGCGTTTGTGTGTGGAAGCTGCTAAAATATCAAAGTCACTCACTCGTCGTTGGCTCCTGTGAAAGCTTTTATAACAGTGGGCAGCTCGTATTTCACGATGTAGAGGTAGCTCGACATGGCTGTTGGGGAAAAAACAGAAAAACAACAACACCAGTTAGCACATTTTCCTGTAAAACTGAGGGAGAAAAAAGAAAAGGAGGAAACTCTGCCATAAAAATAGTGATCTCTAATATTTGGCAAGGGGCCCAGATGCTTGTAAAATGACTCAAAGTTTTACTGGAAGCTACAAAAACAAACAAAACAAGCTGGTTTCCATCAACCAAGGTTTCCCCCCCCCGTGCCTTCCCCCCTCCATGCTCTCATTGCAGACACAGAGGAGCAGTGTTTTAGCTTTCTGAGTGAGCACATGTTGGATCTATTACAGTTACATAACATTCATTTTTCTTACCTCCAATGTTCTGCATGGTGATGGAGAGGGAGGCTGCGAATTTCCCCGGTGTCCCGAAGGCTTTGTAACCCAACTGCTCGTACACCAGTGCGCCTAAAGACACAAAGAATTGTGGATTTAGAACAAAAGTATTTTTAAAAAAATACACACTTGGCATTTGGGGATGTTTGTCTGATAGACTTACCCCCTTCATTGGCCGTCTTCAGCAACAAGTGCACAGAATACAAGGAGAAGATGGCGACAGACGCAAGAAGAATCCTGTAAACAGACAAGGGAGAGCTTTAGCTGTATGTTTACCTGCGACCTTGATATAATTAGGAGATTTAAAAAAAAGAAAAGCAGAAAAATCAATGATGAAATGTTCTGATCAAGGCTGAAGTGCTGAACATGGGCCTTTGAAGGCCAGTTGAATGACAAATGTATTTTCCTGACTGGTGAACAAACACATTGACATTTGGCTGACGTGAAGGTCACATATTGCTGTGCAGGGTCTACTGATCATGTCTCACATCCCTTCTCTCTTGTGATGGCTCAGATCTCGTGTGTTTTGGGAGAATTTGCCGTTAGGATGATTTCTGCTCCAAGAGCAAAGTGTCAGTACCTTTAGTGTTTCCTTCGAGACCTGAGCGTGTGCAAGTTTGCAATCTGCCTTGTCAAAAACAAACCCAGAACTCTAAGTTCTTTGAGTCACAAGCAGCATCAGCAGGAATCCAAAGGACGAAAGGTTTCCCTGCCCCTGGGATGCTGCAGAGGCAGCACTGTACACTCGGCGTTATTAATAGTTCAGATGAAAGTAAATCTCTTGGCCTTCTGAGACTTGTCTTTGATAAACGCAATGTTCAGCTGTGTGTCCAGCTGCTTTAGTGGCTGCTCGTCTGTCTATGACGTCCTTATTCTGTCTCATCTTAGTTTGCAAAGGCTTGATCTGCTTTACTAGCACCAGACAGTACTTCAGCATATAAACACAGAGACATAAGGAGCAGGTAGCAAGGTTTGTCAGCTGGGTAGGAGCCATCAGGTGTTTGTAATCCCCAGCTTCCTGCAGATGCAGGGATCAGACTGGCCAGCTGCAGCTCCATTCATGATCTCCTGCAAGCGTACATTATCTCTCCATTTACGTAATTCGTGCGTGGAGCAGCAGGATTACCTCGACTTAGCTGCTTTTCCTGCCACTCCCTTTTGTTTCTGACTCCCAGAGATGTCGAATACTGCGAGTGGACTCAAAAAAATATTAGATTTTTTATTTGGACCCAATAATCTGATTTCTTTCAATTGGTTGCTGACAGACTGATTGTGAAAAGTTCCAGCAGATGCTGCCAGCGTGAGTGAGAAACGGAGGGCTAAAAAGAAAAAATTAAGAAATGCAGCACGCGGCTGATGCAAGGTGGCTTCAGTGTTTCCACACACACAAATAATGTGCTGAATAACCAGCAGGGGGCACTATCACTCACAATGAGATGCACTTTAAAAAAAATCTCAAGATTGCTGGTACTTCAGCTGAGCAACATTTGAACAATTGTAAACTTTCAACCCTGACTCTCAGGGTCGAGCAGTTGCATAAAGGACACATAAACATTCTGCTGGCGGCGAAAAGTCGTCGTGCAGAGATTCAATGAGATGCTATACATCACAAGCTGTCACACCAATGCAACAGACAAAGCCATACCTGCCCGTGCTCATCTGAGCTGAATGCGGATTATGAAATAAAAACACACCAGTTTTGAGTCATGCTTATTTGGTTTTCTTTACATCTTAACCTCTTGACTCTGGTGTTAGCTTAAGGAGTTTCTTTGTTTGTTTCCTTTTGCCTCTTTGCATTGGACAGACGTAAGTAATAGATGCTTACACAAACAGGGCGATGCCAGTGTTGGCCATGGCAAAGGACAGACCCAGGATGCCACTGCCCATGATGGCGTTGCCCAGGTTGAAGACGGACATGCCAAAGGAGGCACTACCCTGGTGCTGTGGAAAAGACGCAGGACGGTTAGGACAAGATGAGACATCACATCACTGGTTAAAGGAGAAAGATAAATGTGCTGGAGGAAAAAGAGAAGCTCTTACAGATTCAGTAGCATACTTCTTCTTGCCCGTGTGTTCAGGGAGGAAGTTTTGGCACTCTGCGTCAAAATCGGGGTATTGGCTTTAAAAGAAAAGAGAAGAATCAAGAGTTATTTTTGTGAAGTGTGGTTTATACCATGTGCAGTTTTCAGTTCTTAAGTATATATTTTTCACTATAGTGTGTGTGAAGTGAGCCTTACCCATCCAGTGGCACCTTCTTTGGGCATGGGTATTCACTGCTGTTTGAGCTGCTGCTGTCATCTTCTGGAACATTGTTGAAATCTCTCATCTCGGGCATTTTAAAGCTAAAAAAAATAAATTAAAAAAAGTTGTTTTAACTGTTAATTAACTGTATTTCTTATATTTCTGTATACTGCGTCAGTTCCTCAGTCTTTCCCCCCCATTTCTAGCTGTGCGCGTTCACGCTGCCTTGAGAATAATCAATATTATAGTGGCTCCACCGCAGCGTTACTCAGGAATCTGAGACCACGTGACAATGCTTTAGCTACGGCGGAGTCAGATGAGGAAGAAGAGAGGAGGGAGGAGGGGTGACGCACCGGCAGTGGAAAAATACCAGACCGGCATCACCCCAACTCTTCCATAGATACTGAATGGCACACACACATACAAAAGAAAAAAGCCGCAGTACACGCGGACAAATGTGACACTTTGCGCACATTTCCCCCTCAAAAATCGTCTTAAAATCTGGACTTTTCACTTTCCTTTTTCTTGAAACATCCCATTTTAGCAACTGCCAATGAAACAAAAACGAGGTGACAATCAGACATAGCTGTCTAAATCGGGCATATAGTAAAATAACCTTCTTGGATGACTTTTACGCACATGAAGATCCAAACAGAGCCACAATGGCATTAAATGGTCAGAGCCATTTAATGCCATTATTCCCATGACCCGACCGGCTCCACTGGAAACAATGACACGTGTTGTCCCTTTATGGGCATGGCTCTCCCATTTTGCGCAGCGGCCGTGGCTCAGGCGCAGGGTTATCTTTAGTGCCTTTTCAGATTACACACAAGAGACACTTTTCTATGTCTTTCATTTCGCACTGTGTGTGTTTTGTGATCTGTGTGGCAGTAAAAAGCCCGTGTCCTAATACATGCCCAGCACTGCAGCATCACTGTCAAGCGGACACTCCATTATTCATTTATTTGGATCAGGGCTGACCTAATAAGAGAAAACGCCTCGGGATTCTCAGACAATGACATGTTATGAGTCTTTAGTGAGAGATCTGCACATGTACTGTGTACTGTGACAGGAAATCATTCTGTTTCACACTGATTAGCTTTTAACACCCGATAACAGACGATTTTTAATTAAAGAAAAATACCTCGCATTAAAAATAAAAAGGTAAAGACATAAAATGCTGTAATAATGTGCAATCAGAAACTGTGCAGTGTGTTAAAACTTGTAAAGATTTGATTTTTTACATTTCAAATACTGTTCCGCCCACATCCGCCAATTTTCCCTCTGACGGTAAACGAGAATGTCGACATTCTTACCTTTTGAAGATGTCTTAGGATGCCTGAAGATCCTTTCAGTAAGAAGAAGAAAAAAACGTCCAGACGATTTCTTTATAAAAATCAGCTGATCCTTGAGAAGACTAGGGATTTTTTTTATTATATATATATGTATATATATTTATAAAGACTGAAATTTTGAATGAATGAATGAATGGACCTACTAGTAGACCAGATCTGACTTTAAAAAGCAGAAACAGAAACAGGCCAAGGAGCAAAAAGATAAATAAACCGAAGCAAAAACGCGAAAAGAATTTCGATGTATTGACTATTTGAATCAAAGTCCAAGAAATGCGGCGCGCTCGGAGAGAAAACCCAGTTCTGCTAGAAAAAAGGGGCGAGGGCTCTTCCTTTTATAGATGCCACATTGCATCAGCCCAAACCAGCAAAGAGGGAGGAAGAGGGTGGAGACCTTTTACGCACAGTGACGTGGTTTGTGTACAAACAGATTGACTTTCCCTCGCTGGAAAACCACGGGCGCTCTCTGATACATTTACAATAATCAAACCACATAAACACTACACCAGTGCTACATAACACACACAAATGTCTAAATCCGTGGATAACTAGGCTTTACTTAATTTTTTTATAGTAACATATATATCAGTTCAGAATTTTCCGTTTAAACGTTCTCATTACTTTTATTTTATTTTATTTTTACTCTCAAGTAGCTCTACGCTGGAACTCTCTCATGGCTTTTTTGTGCGATTAGGATTGTTTTGAAAGCAGAACTTGGCCTCGCTGAACCCCACAGATACACTGTGAAGCTATTAAACGCTTTTTCTTTTTTTTTTCTTTTCTTAAATTAAGGTAAAGTGAAGACTCAGAGTGCACTCTGAGGGCCAGAGTGTCAGTCTAGATCAGGATGTGCCGGAGCTTCAAAGCAGACCTCCCCGTCTGAAGGAGATTACGCACAAACGCCATCATGTGACGGTTATCCTGATCCTTATTCACGCTGCTGGCTCATCTTGTCAGGTCAGGTGTGTGTGTGTGTGTGTGTGTGTGTGTATAATCTTCTACTGCTCGGGTTTTAAGTTTATTATTAATGCTGACTGAGAACAGTACAGTTTATGGTCTGGCTTTTGACTTACCTGTTGATAAAACGTTTCCTTCTGTTGCTACACTTTAGATAACAGTCCAAACAGAAGTCATATACAGCACATGGAAGGCAGTACTTGCATTAGCACTGTGCTGTTCACTACCCTCTATTTAGATTATGCTCACAGTATTATCATTACTCTTACATGTGTTAGATTTTCAACTGTTTCTTCTGTCCTTCTCTTATTTGTTTAAACAATATAAGCAATAAACCCATAATCACACATGTAGTTACTGAGTGACAGACAGGTGCAGTTCATCTTTAGTTGAATGGAAGTGAATTGGATTTAAAATTTCTTTTAGTCAATACACTCAATTAACGTCCCACTGACCTTTTTTGTGTTTTGTGCATTGTTTGGCTTTCCCCCCACCATCTCAATGGATTTGTTTTTACTCACTTTGGTTTTTTCATTTTCACCCACTGGGCTTGATCCCTTTGCAGCAGAAACCATGCTTATTGGTAAAGTTGGTGAGTTGGAATGACATACCCGTCTTGCCAATGCCATAAGCCCTTAAATACGGCCCAAGGACAACTTGTGCCTAAATATGGCATTCCAGAGGCTGTGAAGCAGCAACATTAACTGACGCCTAGAAGATGAGAACTGATTGTACTGATGCAACTGTACCGCCAAACGTTGAGTAGCCGACCACATGCACGCCATATTCCAACCGTTCAATGGTCAACAGCCAGCTCAATGACACCCTTCAATACATAACATACTAGAATATGCTAGTGAGGTTCAGAACCACACCTGGTGGGGTGTGGGCAACATATCCACTACTACAAGATCTACTACCTGCATCAGTGCTACACTCAGTAGTTCTTGTACTAGTACTAGTTCTACCAGAGTACTGTTTCTTTATATAAAACCACTAAATGTACTGATGCATGTGCAGAACTAGTTGTACTGTTAAAATTTATTAACGATTTTTGTCACAACATAAAGGTAGTAGTATTAATATGTGGTAAAAAGTAAAAAGTCCAAACAGAAGCATTGCAACAAGTACACATACTAGTTGTAGTAGTGTTTGCAGCCCTTTACTTTTGCTACTTCCATCTAATAGACACTTTGTACAGGTTATACTACTTATAAAATGAGTTACTACTATCTAATAGTCAAATTGTAATATCACTATCAACTTTATACTATTCAATACAATTTAATTCAGTTGTATTTATATAGCACCAAATTACCAGAACAGTTCACTTGAGGTGCTTTTTATTGTAAGGTTAGGGCCCTACAGTGATGGAGAAGAAACCCCAGCAACTAAGCATTTGGCAGGAAGAACTCTCTTCTCTTAACAGGAAGAAACCTCCAGGAGAACCAGACTCAGGGATAAGCACTTCCTACTATAACTACTTAACTTACAAAAAACATAGCATTATACCACTGCATGAACTGGACTTCCTACTGTTACTCTTAGCACCTTGTAGATTGTTTTTATTGGTAATATTACTTTTAAAACTGCTTATTACACCTTCTTGTACTGTCTCATTGCCATCCAGTTGCTTACTCATATGGCTAATACTATTCATTGAACCATGACTATCAGTAATACAACTGAAACTAGAAAAATTTGCATTTCCTGCGAAAATGCTGTGTGGATGCCTTAACGCTGAAGTTGCCAGCTGAAAAAACAGGATTCAAACCTGACCCTCCTTGTCTCAAGGCGGCGACTCATCTCACTAAGCCACGCTCATTCTCGCAAAGAATAGGTGGACAGACTGACAATTCTGCTGAAATGAGCAGAAGCTGCTGAGAATTGTGCTGATAAGAGGTGAAAAGGCTGAAAACTTTGCAGAAAAGAGGTGAATCAGCAGAATTTCTGCTGAAAAGAGGTAAAGAAGCAGAAAGTTGCGCTGAAAAGAGATGAATCAGCAGAATTTCTGCTCAAAAGAGTTTTTTTTCTGAAAAAAGCTGAGATTTGTGCAGATAAGAGGTGAAAAGGCTGGAAATTTTGCAGAAGAGGTGAATAAGCAGAATTTGGGCTGAAAAGAGGTGAAAATTCTGAAAATTCTGCTGAAAAGAGTTGAATGAGCAGAATTTCTGCAGAAAAGATGGAAAGAAGCAGAACGTTGCGCTGGAAAGAGGTGAATGAGCAGAATTTCTGCTGAAAAGAGTTTTTTTTTCTGAAAACAGCAGAAAAAACTGAAAATTTTGCTGCAAAGGGGTGAAAAAGCTGAAATTTGTGTTGAAAAGAGTTAAAAAAGTTTAACTGTTAACTGAAAGAAATGTTGCCATAAGCAGGATTTGAACCCGGGCCTCCCAGTCTGAGAACGGCTGCTCATCTCACTGAGCTAAAACACAGCTCAACCGGGCAAGGAAAACTAGTGACCAGACTGATAATGTGGAAGAAATGGGCAAAAAATATTGCATAAAAAATTCAGTATCTCAAAAAGTATAGAAGTTATGAGCACCAAAAGTCATAGCAGAAACAGCAGAAGTTTAAACTGAGAAAATCGGCTGAAAACTGAGGGAGTAGTTAACGTCCAAAAAACATACGGAAGCAACTTGTATTATTGGATTAAGATTAAGATTGGATGGCAACTACCAGCTGTGCAACATCTAACAATTTTTAGAAAAGGTATTGCCTGGATTTGTATTACTACTTATAATACTACAGTGACTACTGTGGATATTATTAAACACAGTGTGCTGAGTGTGACTTCTGTTGGGCGTTGTCTGTGGTTATTTGTCCTCCCTTTAAAGTGGAATTAGAGGTCAACTTCTGGTTTTTATGGTTAAACATCTTCAGTGGAATTTAGTGATTCATGAAGCTGATCTGAATTGCAAAAAAGGAACAAGTTGTCTGTAATACCCGTTCACAACAAGCAAAAAGCAAGTCCAGTGCGCAGTCAATGTCTCAGCTGGAGGGGAAACGTTAGGAGCAGCACGTAAAGAGATCTTTCTTCTCCTACACATTATGCAACATTATTATCTCTTTACACCCTGAGCTGCTCTCCAATATGTTCATGGCCTCACATTTACTTTGGCTTTGTGATCTTGTGACACAAGTTCGAATTACACACATTCCACTTCTCTTAAGAGTGAACCGATTTACAGCCTGATGAGGGACACTGGGTTGGAATAAAAACAGCCCGTGAAAGCTGCAGCGAATTTGATTATCTAAAGCCACATTTTCAGTAAAAAAGGGCACAAAGCAGGAAAGCGACAGCTTAATTTATTCTGGAAGTGGGCATATACAAACATCCATGTATTCAGCTATTATTGACTGAAGTTGGTTCCCCAGTCAGGTGTCATATTAGCCAAAACAGAGTCAGTCCCCCCAGACTTTATAAAAGACGGAACCAGCTACTGTGACGTCACACACTGGTCTGTGAAATTTTGAAGATTGGTTTTCAGCATTGCTATCTTGGTGTTTGATGTTACTGGTCCTCTGGCTAGAGGCTTATCAAGGTGTCAGCCACTGATTGTCATGGTCCTGAGTTGTTCAGCCAGTTTTTGAGTTTGAACGACTTTAGTCATTCCTTCGAATTTCTGAAATGTTTATGTTTTGTTTTTAGTATGGGAATGCCCCTTTCGAGTCCAGTCTGTCCTAGTCTCATCTCCATGTTTTGTTATATGTTCTGTCTGCCTGGTCATGTCCCCGTGTCTGTCTGATCTCTCAGTTCTCCATGGCTTTCTGCATCTTGTCTTGTCTAGTTAATATGTCTGTAGTCAGCTGTGTTCGAGTCACTCCACCGTGTTTGTAATGCTGGTTCTTTTTGCAGCATTTTTAATAAATTATCTAACTACGCGTATCGCTCTTACTCTCAACAAGCAGCTGGTGCTGCGGTGGGCACCTCGCCCGAGCTAAAGCGCTCAAGGGTGGAGGATAGTCCTCCCCCAGCTGCTATCAGGGCAGGAGATGCTCACACCTATGCGGCCAAACTGCAAATGAATTGCGCTTGAGCGAAGCCGCTGCTCCCGCACTGACTGCAACGCAGTCAATTCTTCTTTTACTGTTATGTTGTTTTGTGGATCACAAGGTTTAAAACTACTTATAAACACACAGACACAAAGTAACTCCACCAGAGTGCCTATTTCGGGTCACTTTTGCCGGTCCAAGGCCAGATAAAGGAGTACGGTTGGAATTGTGGCATTAACAAAACAATAATTGGTAAAAGAAATTTAATTTGTAGTTCTAAATAAATTCTAAATGCATTTAGGACATTTTTTACTCACTTTATGTCTCTTCCACGATGTGATTTTTTTCTCCTACAATGTAGGTTACTATTACATT